ACACACACACACACACACACACACACACACACACACACACACACACACACATTTTAATCATCACTAGTCTAAAATACAGCATCCCTTTTTTTGGGTCTAGCTGTCATGCAGTGGCTACGGCTATAAAATTCATTAAATAGCTAGGCCTACACTAATTAAATAGACACATTTTGTGTTTCTGTTGTGTCGGCTATCTCTTTAATTGCTTCTATTCCTCCAAGCGCGTAGGCTATGTGAGAACAGCGGAGCGTACAGCCTTGCCTTTTTCAAACCACTCATAAACTCTTCTCTTATTATGCCCTCGCTCAGAAAATAAACGTAATTTTTATAATCTTCGTCTTTCCTTGTCTCCTTAGATCTAAGAAAGGGTAACCCGTCATCCATCTGTTCCAAGTCCTTATTGACTAACCCCGATATGTGTTCAATTAATTAAGTTACTGACTATTTTAAACATATTTGGTATATCGATCTGCCTCTAATTTCCCCATGTGCAAGACTTTGTCTATTCGACATTCGTGTGTCCTAGAAACTGCATAATTTGTCTCTTCCTGGTTTTTTAAAAAGTAGTACGAGCGCCTCACACGGGTTTCTTTCAGCACAATCTTATTTGCTTTCTTTTAAGTTTTAATTCGATTAAATTCTCTCGGCCTGTCTCTAGGAAACCACGTTTCTGTACGCTACGTCTATACATGTAGTTTGTTTTCACGATCTTGTCCAGCTTCTGTAGAAGGGTTGACCTCGCAAATCGTTTTGGTTGTCCTCAGAGTCAGAACCAATCTAGTTCAGGTTTAGATCCTTGCTTGTTCTTGAGATGCTTCTTTTTCAGGATATATTAGGCTATACCAAGGAGTTTAGAACTACTTTTAGTCTCCTTGGGCTATACATGTATAATATGGGGCCTAGATAGATAGATAGATAGATAGATAGATAGATAGATAGATAGATAGATAGATAGATAGATAGATAGATAACATTACCATGCATACTGTTTTCAACAGTGTAATAATGCAATATAGAAACATTAGTTCGAATAGTTCAAACACGAAGGCGAAATTATTAAATAACGAACATAATTTTTCAGTCAATTTGGTAGGCTAGGCCATGACAGTGCTTTCCCCTTCGAACAGTACACAGTACAGTACACTACACACAGTAGGCCAACACAGTACACTCAGTAGGCCTACACACACAGTTGATGAGGCTTGAGAAGTGAGAAGTGAGTGACTGGAGTGGAGACTGGATGACTTTAAATACAGAATGAATGGTTGATCAAACAACTAAGTGTGCTGATGTGCCGTGTGTCTATGCGTGGCTGTATTGTATTGGGGACTTGTATTGTACTAAGGCACTAAGGTAGCTTAATTTTGTGATAAACAGGGCCACCTCTATCCTATTCTCACCCAGAGTGAGAATAGTGCAGGCGAGTCTTGTGGCTATTCTCACCCGGTGCGCGGTCACCAAATTTTGCG